GATATCAACTGGGCAAAGACCTTTTGATGGTTGTAAATTTGATATTAGTCTTGCAATAAAGATTTGCAAAGGACTGCGGCCGGAATTTGCTTTTGGAACTCCTAACTGCTATATTAAATTCGCTAAACGATGTATGGATTCAGATCCACAAAAACGGCCTGATGCTTCTGAAGTTCGTGATAAACTTATCCAATGGAATGAAATCATGGGATATAGGAGTGACAATGATTATGACGATGAATATGATAGTGATGATGATAGTGATGATGATGATTATGATGATGATTATGATGATGATTATGATGATGATTATGATGATGATATTAAAAAGCAATTCTTAGATGCTGACAAAATAATCGAAAAATTGCAAATTATATCACCAAAACACTCAGATTCTATGTACACTAGTAAAATTATTAGCACACAAAAAATATCAAATGCAATTAAAGGTATTTATTTTTTAGCTGATGTATTATTTAAAATTAAGACACTTTTACAATAAACTTCCGAATTTTCCAAAACATTCAGAATTAACAACTGCAGGTATACATTCTTATTAATTTGTATTTTAATGTACAGTAAATAGTGGTACTCGATATGACTGAATCCACCTTATCGAGACTTTATCAGTTATATAAAGTAGAATCTATTATAGCTTATTCTACTCTGTTATATATGAATTGTTAGTTTCTGTTAAATCGAGTATCGAGTGCCACAATGTATTTTGTAAATTATAAAAAGTCTAATCAGCTAAATTAAAATTTTAAATTATTTTTAGTTAGTAAACCTCATGACCCAGTTGAGATCCTCGATGATGATTAATATTTTAAATTTTTCGCATTCAGAAAATGTGGTATGTCACATTGGTTAGAGAAGTCAATTATTTATTTTAGCGCAATTAGTTAAAATAATGAAACTTCGAATTCATTACTAGCTTTTAATGCTTAGAATAAATTTATAATTATTTAATTTGATAAAAACTATAAAGTATTTTTTTTCTTATTTTTTCTTTCATATTTTAATTTTTATATAATTTAGGCATCATCAATCAAAACGTGCTTTAGTGAGATTAAAAAAAATTTTACGCCAAGTGATAAAATATTGGTCATGTCTAATTATAACATGGGTTGTCATTATCTTAATATATAATATATATTAAAATATTATTGAATTCAAAAAATAATAATACTGTTATGAAGTGGTTTGTTATAATTTGCAATCTTGTTAGTCTCTTAGCTAATTTCTTATATTATTGAAGGCGCTAGTTTATTTATTAGTAAATAAACAAAACTAACATTTTATTTCTAATAAATCAAAATTAATACCAAAATAATAAAAAGAAAATACTGTATATTACTAAAAATAAGCAATTTTATAAATTTTAAATTTTTTTTTTACTAATTAACATATAAAATTATTTTTTTGCAAAATAATATATTTGAAATTATTTAAAATTTATTTCTAATAAAATTTATCAGTATATATATATATATTTTTTTTTTTTTTTATACTTAGGTGATTTTGTTCTTCATTTTATTAAGTGATATGTTAATTTAGCACTAAGACAAATATATAAAATTAAAATTAAACCTAATCTAAATTCTAATATTCTCTTTTTGTTGCAATTCTAGACTTACTCAGCTGCCTTAATGATGCTTAAATGTGATCTGTTATAGCAACATTTTTTCTTACAAAATCAGATATATAACTAAATATACTTATCTGTTTTGATCCTCAGAAAGCTACTACTAACTATTATCAAGAACATCTATTTGTTTTTAAACTTTAGTTACTCTACTAATACTCCTGATTAGATCTAATTTGAGACTTTGTTTTTTGATTCTTTAAGAATTTTTCTTCTTTTATCTATTATAGTTCTTTGTTTTGAGCTTTTAATACTATGTTATTTTCTTTATTTTCTATATAATCTTTGTTTATTTTCTTTTTTTTATTTTTTTCTTCTATATATTAATTTCTTTTTTCTTTTTCTATTCATTCATAATCTTATATTGAAATTTCTAAAGTCTTTGAAAAAAATTAAGTCAGAAAATATCTATAAACTAGCTAATTATTCTGTTTACTTTAGTATTAAAGCTAAAAATTTTATTTTTAATTCTTTTTTTGTTCCTAATACTTTATAGATATAATATTCTTCTTTTAAGCTTATTAGTTAGTTCTGTTTTAAAATAACCTTATTCAAACTTAGATTTAAGATAGATAAATTCTATTTTTTAAATATTTTGAGCTCTAGCTCTTTAAGAATAATTTTCTTTATATGAGTCTATATCTTTTAGTATACTATATATTCTGCAAAGTAACTAAAAGTTTTTTTAGTAGTATAGCAAACTACATATATTTTTTTTTATATAGTTTTAGTCTTCTTTGATAACAGATATCTTGTATAAATAGCAGTTTATTTAAATATTTTATCCTAAATACTAATATTTTGCTACTTTGCAGACTTATATATCTTCTTCCTTAGTATTTTAAAAGTATATATTATATATTTTTCTAATTTATATTCTAGAAATTATTGCTTTTTGTACTTGAATATACAATATCTTTTGAGCTTCTTAGCTCTGCCTAATCTGATTTATATATTATTACTATTATATTATTATTAAAAAACTTTACTGAGCAATTGATTAATTTGTTTTTCTATTTTAGTAAAACTTTTAGCTTATCTATATTTACATTATCAACTCTTATTACTCTATCAGAGTTTAGACCTTTTTTATAAGACTATTAACTCTATTATTCTAGAAATCTTTACTATATCCTTTAATTTTAGTGAGGTTAAATTCTTATTCTTTAGTTTTATAATAGTTCTTAATCTGTTTGATTAGACTATAGATTTTAGTTTTAAATAATTCATGTAAGCTATTAATAGACTTATTGTTTTGAAATCTTTCAATTACTATTTTGCTATTTAAGAATATATTTATTTTAGTATTACATAAGACTGCTAATACTGCTATCTATATTGCATTTAGCTTAGCATGAGTTAAAGAAAGCCAGTTTGCTAATCTACTGCTAAAACTAATAGTTTCTATACTATCTTTTAATCTAACTTCTTTATAATCTAACAACTATATAAGCCATCTCAAAAATATATTGCAATACTAGATTTAGGTTAGGTTTAGGTTAAGCTAAATATTACAAAGGTATAATATATAACATCTTTGTGATATTTAACCTAACCTAAACCTAATCTAAATCTAATCTAAACCTAGTTTAAATCTAAATATATTATAATATATTTAGATTTAAACTAGGTTTATATTAGGTTTGGGTTAGGTTTAGGTTAGGTTAAGCATCATAAAGAAGTTATATATTATATTCCTATGATGTTTAGTTTAACCTAAACCTACCTAAACCTAGTATTGCAATATATTTTTGAGGTAACTTAGTATAGTTCTACAATTGATTTTTTGGCTTTATTAATATTATATACAAAGTATTCTTTAGAAATTATTAAGTTTGTTATAAATTTAAAAAAACTTTGAAGTTGAAAATTATATTATTTAATTATATTCTTGAATCTTGTAAAGTCTAACTCTAAATTAGCAGATTTCTAATATTGTAGACAGTATAATACTTTTGTTAATACTTCTATATTCAAAATCAATAATAAGCTTTAAATTTAAATTTGTTATTAATAAAAAATTTTTTATAAAATAAATATATTTAAAAAAAATTAGATTATCTTATTAGTAATATTTATAAATAAAAGAAATGAACGTTCACAACAAGTGCTCACTTCGACAACAGATGCGATAGCACTGTTTTTTCCAATAGCAGCCTCTTAGTGTCACAGCATCAGTATACTTTCAAATTTCTTCACCATAGCCAGGGCCACAAAAATAAACACATACAATTCAGAAACTATTTAGTTATAATATAATGTTTTATTTTTAGTCGTCTTTAGGTATTTCTTCAAGTAATATAAAAACAATCTACATGTCATAAAGGCCTGACGGCTCGCCTTCTTTAAAAAGTGTAAAAAGTAAGAAGAAAAGTGCGAAATGTAAAAAATAAGAAGTATGTAAAGTGCGACGAAGTGAAAAAAAAAACAAAGGTGATACAAATACTTTTGATAATCTTAATCAGGATAATCTAACTTACATTAACTTACATGAACAATTCATAGCTAATAGATTTTGTAAATTAAAAAACTAGCGCTATCGCTATTGTTATATCGAAGTCATAAATTTTTTTTATCAATTTCAACTGTACAGTACACGGAATATAGTGCTACCGAATAAATTATTTTACAAAAACTTTTTTTTTTTTTTTTGACAAAAACGCACCAGATTTTTTCTAAATAAATTTTTTTTTGAAATTTTAAACAAAAATAACTCAGCAAAAACTTATTTTTTAAATTAATTCTAAAATCTTATGGAATTTTATTTAACAAAATTTTTATTAAATTTAGATATATTCTTGTCAAATAATATTCATTTAAAAGTTGTAAAAATGTTTCATTAAAAAAGATCTGGTGCTACTCACCCATATCGATATGTACTGTATTCGGAATTTCAACAAAATAGGAAGTCTTAAATTATTCGATTAAGTAAAAGAAAACACAATCCTCAATCCGTGAAAAAAAAAGAACTACCGGTAATAGAAAATAATTTGGTCAAGAATTGCAAAAGTCTATTAAAATGAATTCTCTTTATGTCCAAAAAATTTTTTTGTAAAGGGTCTAACTTCAAATCGCCATAATGCAGGCTGATGTCTATAAATCTAGGCCGAATGGTCGACAGAACCTTTAACATATTCAGTATGTACAATTTATCACTTTTTGACACGTTTTGTCTTTTAAAAAATTTATATTCAAATGTCGAAACCAGGTTTTGATTTTCGTCATAACGAAACTCCTATGTTTCGTTTAACAGCTATAGAACGTGATGATGACTTGAACTACTTGATAATGAGGTCCCGAGTTTTACTTTCCCTGAAGTACTGGCTTATGGGTAATGGGACATTTATTTCTGGGTTAACTGATGCCATATTTAGTGATAATGTTGATTATGGGGAACATTTTACGGCAAATGGTAATTATGGGTCGAAATTTGGAACGGGATTAAGACTAAATAGTCGCCAAATATGGCCTCTTACAAGTATTGAATGGACAATTGCTTTAAAAGCTGTTGTTATGGAGATTATATTTTTAGAAAAGAGAAATATAGAAAATGATAATTCTCAGGCAACTATCGATGCTTGGGGTAAAGTGAATGATCTAGATAATCGCTTAATGTTTGGTGTTAACCCAGATATAAATAATTGTAGTGATCCTAATGATGAGTTGTTTAAATTGATAGTTTTTTAATTGTTGATGTTTATTAATTCAAATTTTTTATAGCTTTAAATGTATTGGATTCATTATATCTTGAATATAAACTTCCCTATCCGATTAATGTAATAATAACTCCAAGTTCGCTAGAAATATATAATCGTCTCTTTGTATTCCTTTTACGAATATTAAGAATGAGAATAGTAATTAATTATGTCCATCGGCTTTTACGTGATCGACACCTTTTTGACGATGATGATACTGCTAAAGACAAAAAAATTGGTGCAAATATTTCGGTTTGAAGCGCAACAATTTATTGTAGCACTTCGTGGATATATATTTGATGTAGCAATATCGTCTACTTTATGAAACGTTTGGATGGAACAGTAAAAGAAGCAAATTTTGAATTACCACGTGACCATTCATGGCGACGATATTAATATAGCACTAGTGATTAGTGTTCCTAATCGGGTCAGGTCAACCCGAAACCCGACCGACTCGAAATTTAGAGACTCTGCGATTTAGAAATCGTGCTTTTGGGCCAATCAGCATCAATCGTATAGAATTTAATTATAACGTTAGAATTAATTATCTAGCATCAGGGTTGTAAAATTACCGTAATTTATAAATTTCTCAGTAAGTTACCTGAAATATTGGTAAATTACCAGGTAAGTTACCGTAAAGAATAAAAAAATTTAATTGGCTAAACTGGCGGTTTACTCTCACAACCATGTTCGTTTTATATGTTCATTCATAGTCTACCTCTTAGTATTAATGCCGGCCAAATTATATCTTAAAAGCTGCCCGAAATTTTCTTAACTCCGCTGTAATTCGGTAACTTACTTGAGGTTATAGTAATTTACCTGGTAATTTACTTGTAATTTACCGATGGTAACTTACCGTTTACAACCCTGTCTAGCATTATGCTTCTGACCAAAATTATAGCTGGCCTGGATTATGAAATTAACTGCGCCTAAAATTTCTGACTAATTAGTAAAATTGATGTTAGCTAATAGTCATCCGCGATATTTTGAAATTTACATCTACTTTTATAATTCCTGGAACACCTGATAATTTTCCCGCTACCCGAAATATTCCCAGTCTTGTCCAGTAAATTACCTAACCTTTCGGAAACTGTATCGCTGTCTTTGAATTGGAGGTCTGAAGACAGCGATATAGGTTTCAGAAGGTTAGATAATTACCGGACAAGACTGAGAATATTTCAGGTAGCGGAAAAATTATCAGGTGTTCCAGGAATTATGATAATATGTGAGCTGTCATCAATAGAAATCAAGCAAATCGTTTTTATTGAAATTTTTTTGAAACTTTAAACAACAATAACTTAACAATAACTTACAGCTGTTATCATTATTTCTAGGACACCTGATAATTTTTGCTCGCTACTGAATCATTCTCAATTTCATCCGGTAAATTGCCTAATCTCTCGGAAACTA